CCAGTCTAGAGTGCAGTGGCATATTCACGGCCACCACAGCCTCGACCTCCTGGGCTCAGGCAATCCTTCCACCTCTGCTTTCCAAGTAGCTGGAACTGCAGGTGCACTACCACACCCAACTAATTTTTTGATTTATTGTAGAGATGAGGTCTCTCCAAGTTGCCCAGGTGGGTCTCCAACCCGCAGGCTCAGGCCATCCACTCACCTCGGCCTCCCAAAATGCTGGGATGACAGGCTTGAGCCACGGCACCCAGCCACACATAAATATTCTTGAGTTGTATTCTGTGTTACATTACTCACAAATATTTTTATCCTTTTGAGGCCAGTTACGTTAAAGCGCAGTTAGGTGGGATCAGAGCAGCCCTGTCCTAGGGCCAGTGCCTCTTGACTACTACTGACATGCCGCTATTCTTATGGGTGCTCCCCTGATGTTCCAGAATTACAAGATCTTCCCACTCCACCTAGTAGTTGAAAACCACTCTTGTCCCTGCGGAATCACCAGGGTTTTTCTTCTAATGTTTTTGTGATGTTTTTCCTTTGGTGTTGGGTAGATCTTTCTGTTCTGTTTTCTTTTGTTTTTAACCTGAGGTGCTGGTGTGCTGGCCAGTATTCAGCTGAGGACCCCTGGGGAATCCCTTGGAGATCGGCAGCCTTGTCCCTCCCTCTCCCCTCCCTCTCTCTTCTCCCTCCCCCCTCCTCCTTTCTCTTTCTCCTGTCTTCCTCCCTCCCTCTCTCTCTTTTCTAGAACTCCACCTTGCAAATTCTAGCTCTTCCTAGGCCTCTCTGGGATCCTAACTGTGTCTCCTCAGCCCAGGAATCCTGCCAGGCTTCCCCGGGTTCTCCTCCCTGTGCTGAAAACTCTCTCACAGGGAGATTGAATAACTGCAGGGCTCTCCTGGTTTGTTTTCTCTCCCTTGGGGATTCCTGCCCTGCATTGCTTGATGCTCAGCATCTGAAAACCTCTGTCCTCTCTCCTTCTCTCTCTCTCTCTCTCTCTCTCCTCTCCTCCTCTCTCCCCTCCCCTCCCCTCTCCCTATTTGCTTCAGTAGTTTGTGTGGATTTTCAGTTGCTCCAGGCAGGAGGCCAAATGTGACCTTTGTTACTCCATCTTGGCTGAAAGAGAAAGTTTCTCCACCAGCTTCACGTTTCAGGGCAGGAAAAGCAGGAGTGAGGTGAACACAGGCCAGCCAGGCAGGAAGTCTTCCATTTATTCTGTAACATAAACCGAGATAAGAGGAAAGGCGTTGTAAGGTCGGAGGTACCGGAGGGCGGGGTGGGCCTCGCCTCAACAAGATGGCTCCAACCCAGACCAGGAGAACAATGGGCGAAAGTGAGCCAGCAAAAAAAATGAGTGACCGGAACTAAGACTCCAGCCACAAAGCCAGCCAGTACCTATTACAGCGACTCTAGCAACCCTGTTCAGCCAGTCGCCAGCAGACGTGACAGCTGTCCCAACCAGTGATTGCTCTCCCCAACCCCCTCACAGCTTTCTCAGCGTGCCCTTTATAAACCCGTCGCCCATCTTGCTGGGCGTGACTTCTCCGGCCCACAGCTACATGGGCCGGTGAACTTCGCCCGGGATTGCGCTAATAAATTTTTCTTGGCTCCTTTGTTGCCGTTTCGCCTGGTCTGGTTTCATTTACCTTACAGGTGTCCCTTTTATTTTGGCAAAAAACAGCCTATTTTTTAAAAATGTTCTTTAGTTTTCCATATATCGTTCCTGGAGTGGCGGGAGGGAAAAAAACACAATCAAGTTTACACCATCAAAGCATCTCACTGCCCAAAGTCAGCTCCATCTGATTCTTGCTGGGAGCTTGTAGGAGCCACTAGCATAGAGAACTAAGAGGAAGGCACTCAGTAAGTCAAGGTAGCTCTCCTGAAATGGGAAGACTGCTGGCTGGCACACCGGCGTCAGCGCTGATGAGCCTTAACCTGGTGCCTCCAGCCAGGCGACGCCTCAGCTGCGAGCCTGAAGGTCCCCTGCAGGTGTGTTTTAGGATTACGTGCTCATGGGTTGCATCAGTGGGGGAGTGACGGAAACCCTTGTGGCAGCATCTCCGTTCCCCTTGCTGGCCCCACACAGGCCCTCAGCCCCAGTGACAGCCCCGGGAGAGGTGCCCGCCCCGGCCAGAGCGCCCGGTGCTCCCTGGCCCCTGTCCTTCCTGAGTCCCCCGAAATTCTTTTCAGGAGGTTGGTTTGCATATTTGCCAAAACGTCAAGAGGCACACGGGCCCACTTCTGTGTAAAATGGTCAACAAAGTCTGTAGACATTAGGATCCCGACATACACACACACACACACACACACACACACACACACACACACACACAGAGCTCACTTATTTGCTGTATGCACATTGTAGGGGAGAGCAGTTAGACTGGTGGCTTAGTTCTTCCCCTTCAGAATGTCTAGACAAACCTGTCCTAGGAAGGGCCAGAGAGCACAGCTTTATCTGGCACTGACCTTGTGATGCCACGGTTTTGCTGTGAGGGCTGGGGGCTGGGGAGGCCTGGAGAGGTGGCGTTCTCTGATATGTTGAGTTTTAGTCGCATTACATCTCCTGGGACACCATTTCGAAACACAATATTTATATTAGGAAAAGAGTGTAAGCTGGCTGCAGCAGAAGCACTGGGTTTAGGAGTAAACCTCAGTGCAGGCCAAGTTAGCAAAAACACCAACAGAATGTTACAAGTAAACAACAGCCAGATGTCCTTCTGGGAAAAAACAGAGAGAGATGCACTTTATAACGTCGCCAAGGTTGGTTGGTTGTGTTTTGAGTCTGGGTCTCACTCTGCCACCCAGGCTGCAGTGCAGTGGCACGGTCACAGCTCACCACAGCCTCTGCCTCCTGGGTTCAGGTGATCCTTCTGTCTCAACCTCCCAAGTTGCTGGGACTACAGGTGCATAAAACTGTGCCCAGCAGGGTTTTTTTTGTTTGTTTGTTTGTTTACTTTTTGTAGAGGCGAGGTTTTGCTGTGTTGTCCAGGTTGGTCTTGAACTCTGGATTCAAGTGATCCTCCCACTTAAGCCTCCCAAAGTGCTGGGATTACAGGTTGAGTTTATTTTTAAGAAAATGTTGTGATGAATCCAATGAGACCAGCGGCCTGTGGCTGTGACTAGCCATGAACTACGAGGCCATTTATGCACTCTCCCCTACCCCAAAGGGCTCTCCTTTGGTTTTGCTCATTACATGACAGCCTCCAGTTTGCTGGAAGCCTCAGCCTCTTTGACTTTGTACCTTGCTCCAAAGAGCAAACTCACGTTCAGACCCTCACGGGGCAGAATCCCTCTCTGTCCCCAGAAGCTGGCCCTGCTCCTGCCTGGACCACTGAGGCCGCCTCCTCCCTGGGTCCCTGCCTCCGTTCTCCGTGTCCTTCCTCGCCCCAGTCTGCAGACTGCAGCCTCCGTGATCCTTCTGGAGCACAGTCTGCTCTTGGTGAGCAGAGTAGCCCTCTTCGGAAGGGGGACTGGGTGGAGGACACAGTCAAATCCCCTGATTCGGTGTGGAGGGTCCCTGTGGGCTTTGGCCTCCGCCCCTGGGACTGTGTCCCTGACGCGCTCCCAAGAACGCCCCCTTGAGCGCCCTGTGGCCCCGAACCCTCGCTCTCTGCACACCCGCCCCCAGCTGCGCGCTCCTGGCTCCTTCTTCTGGAGTGCCATGTTCGTTTCCCTGCGATTGCCGGTCCAGGTGCGACCGTCTGGGGCTTAAGCCCCAGACATGGGGTCTCCTGGGGCCCTGGAGGCTAGCCGTCTGAGACCAAGGTGTGGGCAGGGCTCACTTCTCTTGAGCGACTGGAGAGAGAAGCTGCCTGGCCCACTCTCCCGGCGTCTGGGGGTCACTGCCGTCTGGAGCCTCCCTTGGCTTGTGGCCCTCCGCCTTGAGTCCCCTGGCACTGCGTGGTGTGTGTGCGTGTCCAGACGCCCCTTTTGGCGGGATGCTGCTCGTGCTGGAGGAGGGGCTCCCCCGTCCCCACGTGACCCCTCTCAGCTGTGCTGCCACAGCCCCATCTCCAGATGAGACCACATCCCCGGGCAGTGTGGTTCGGGCTCCTTCAGACTTGGAGGGACACAGTTCGATCCCCGACGGCCCTCCGTCGTGGCTGGAGTGGAGGTGGAGGGTACGCAGGGACGATACGGTCCGCACTCGCACAGCCAAGACCCGAGAAGTCCCGAAGTAAAGAACCCAACGTTCCAGCTGTTCCATTTCACGCTGTTCCTTGCCCTCCTCCCCCGCGTAAAATCTCGCCACGCTGGAGTTCTGTGGCACATACTTTGGGAAAGGCCGCGTGCCGCCTCCGACTTGGGGGTCAGCGAGGCCCTGAGTAGTCACTTGTGTCCTAAAGGACCGAGGCATGGCCACGAGACCAGAGCAGAGAGGGAAACTGCTCCTGCGGGTCCGCGGGCAGGAGCCCTGTGTCCTCCGAGGAAGAGAGAGGTGGAAGGGGCGAGGGCCAGCTGGAGAGCTGAGAGGGATGGCCGCCTGCAGGGCTTGTGGCGGGCCCACGCTGCGAGCGCCTGTCTTGCCAGGGCCACCTTCCGATCCCAGCCAGGCCGCTCCAGGGGTCTCCTCTCCTTGAAGCACCCAGCCGCTGCCTGGAGATGCTTTCCTAACAACTACAGGCAGATAGAGCTGCCGTTCGACCCAGAGACTCGGTTCTAAAGATCCCGTGGAGAAAATGCTCTTCCAGGAAAGGGAGGATTTAATTAATTAAATACACATTTAATTGCCCGTGCGTGGAGGCTTTCAAGAGACACTCAGTCATCCACCCTCAAGTGTGTGTTTCAGGCACTCATGGGGCACTTATCTACCTCCAAATGCCACCAGCTCCGCGGGACTTGGCCTCGAAAGACGTTTTGCTGCTGGTGGGTGGCTCACAGCGGGGCCCGTGGCTGTGCGTGATGTGAGAGCGGCGCGGTGCGGCCTGTTTTCCTGTGCAGTAGTCAGAGCTTTGTGGGGGCGTGGAGGCAAGAATAACAAGGCTTCTTCTTTCTCCACACAGCTGATACCCATGTGGTTGCCAATGATTCAGTCAAACATCAAGGTAAGTCACCCCTGGGCTGACCGGAAGCTCCACGTGTTCATCAGAGCGTTCACGGGGGTGGATGCTCTGCTGGACGATGGAGAAGGTGAATTCCACCTGTGGCTGCCCTGGAGGGCAGACCACGTGGGCGACCCGTGGGCCGCGTAAGGGTCCTGCCACGGAGGGTGGTGGCAGAGTCGCCGCCCTGGGGCTCGTGGCTGGTGAGCGGGCGGAGGGCAGCATCATGGTTGGGTGCGCCTCGGTCCGCTGATGGCGAGAATGCAGGCCAAGGCCAGGCGGGGTGGGAGGCAAAGCAGGAGGACCGCTTGCGGCTGGAGCTGAAGACCAGCCTGGGCACCCTGGTGAGACCTGATCTCTGCAAAAATATGTAAAGACTAACTGGGTGTGACGGCGCACACCCATAGTCCCAGCTACCCCAGAGGCTGAGGCCGGACGGTCACTGAAGCCAGAAGTTCAAGGTTCCAGTGAGCTGTGATACCTCACCGCACTCCAGCCTGGGGCTAGAACAAGATCTTGTCTCTCTGAAAAAATAACAATAGAGGCCAGAAAGCTACCTTGTCTTTGGAGGATACCCAGGGACTCCAGGGCCGGCACATCCAGTGATATCTTCTGGTCACTGAGACTGGTTTGTTTATGAATGGAAGAATTCCACTGAGAAAAGATAACACCGGGCACAGTGGCTCGCGCCTATAATCCCAGCACTTTGGGAGGCAGAGGCGAGAGGATTACCTGAGTCCAGGGGCTTGAGACCAGCCTGGGCAACTTGGGGAGGCCTCGTCTCTACACTAAATCAAAAAATTAGCCAGGCATAGTGGCACACACGTATAGTTCCAGCTACTTGGAAGGCCAAAGCAGAAGGATTGTTTGAGCCCAGCAGGCAGAGACTGTGCCACTGCATTCCAGCCTGGGTGACAGAGACTCAACTCAAAAAAGAGAGAAAAGATATCATTGAGTGAATGACAGGACTGAGCTAGGAGGAACTTACCCCTCACGTGTGCGATATGAGGAAATGGAGGACCCAAAGAAGAGGGGCCCGGGCAGAACCCCACAGCCTGGGAGGGGAGACCCTGACCCAGCTTACTTCTCAGGCCCAGGCCCGCCTCGAGGGCCGCTTGTCTTCATGGGGCACACCTGCCCCACCACCAGGCATTGTAGTTCCTGGGGCTGGCGGGGAAACGGCAAAGCCAGCCACCTGCTTGAGCCAGAACCGTCCTGGCTGCGGCAGGAAGACGGTGGGGGACGGGGGAGATGGAAACTCTGCTGAATTTCTTCTCCACGTGGGAGAGGGAGTCTAGTGGGAGGAAGGGTGTGAACGCCAAGCACCCAGGCACCGGAAGAGAGCCACGAGAAAGAAGAGTCCTGATCTTGGCCGCAGGGCTGTTTGCAGCCCCCGGTGGCTTCAGCTGCAGGCCTCTCAGGGCTGAGTTTTCCTGTGAAAAGTGAGTTGTTTGTAGTCCCGCCCAGGCATTCCGGACTGCTATGTCCACCTCTCTCCCAGCTCTCTAGCAACCTGAGGCCAGTGCTGAGAGGAGGTCGACAGAACTTGCTGAGAAGCTCCGTTTTCACCCGGCCCTGAGAGGTCACACTGACGTGAGGTCGGGAGATCACAGTGGTCACTAGAGTGTCATCAGCGCCAGGCTCTGTTCTAAGCGTGGTGTTAGTTCGTTTGTCCTTACAAAAAAAGCCCCAAGTGTCGCTGTCCCGCCTGTACCTGAGAAAACACAAACACAAACCAAAAAATCTTGTTCCCGAGTTGCCCGTAGGGAGCCAGGATTTGAACCCAGGGAGCCTGACAGCAGAGCCTGGGCACTTCACCACCACACGGGCCCATGTGGCAGATGGCCCCTGGGTCAGCCCGGTGTCAACCAGGCGCTAGGGTGTCAGCATTCCGTCCCCGCTGCGATGGGCCCATCAGGACAGGCGTGTCCTTGTCCGATGGGCCAGGCTGGGCACCCCAGAACGGGGGAGGCCCGTGCCCTGAGTGCCGCCCGTCTGAGAGCCGGCCTCCCCCGGCCAGGCTGCCCGCGTGGCAGCAAGGGGGCTGGGCTCCTGGGACTGCCGGGAGGAGAGCACGGCATTAAACGTCTCACCTTCCTTGACAGCACTTGTCAGCCGGACTCCAGCTGCGCCTCCAAGCCATTCAGAACAACGTGAACCACCACAGCCTGAGGACGCTGCCGGGCTCGGGCCAGAGCAGTGCTGGCCTGGCGGCCCTGCGCAAGTGGCTGCAGTGCGCCCAGTTCAAGATGGCCCAGGTGGAGATCCAGTCCTCGGAGGCCGCCTCCCAGTTTTATCCTCTATGAGTGGACTCCTCGGCGCTCAGTGTCAGCACTCTGGTTCAGCAATAATGGGTTTGAAACAAGCAATTTGCTCCGAGCAGGTTGGGGAACATATTGGTACTGTAAATTCTCTTTCTAGTTTTAGTAAAAGACGTGCAGAGGCCGGAGAGGGCCGAAACAAAGCTTTCTTGCTACACATATTTCTGACGACTCCTTGGGCTATCTAAGTGTTTCCTTACATTATTTTTTAAAAACCAAATCATTTTTCTTTAACTAACTTCTATTTTTTTTAAGAAAAAAAAAATAGACTGGTGGGTACTCACAGAAAAGTTGTACAAGTCCCCCTGTTGCTATTTTTGATGATAGAGAATAAATAGGGTTTTTGAAACCTTTGTAGTGTTTTTTCTTAAAATCTACTCTTGGCAATGCAATAAACAAATCCGTCACCACAAGCCAGTGACACCTGACTGGAGCTTTTTGTCATTATCCTGGGAAAAGTGGCAGCTTGCAAGGAACATTACAAAGTGCACTTAGAAATTAGGTGGTTAAACTGTGCCAATTCTTTCCTTTGTTTTATAATATCGTTTTCCAAAACCGTCCAGTATATTTTATTATTTCTAAAACTAGTTTTTCAACTCATTAGTTCTAGGCTGTACTCTCTTGTAAGCTTTATGACAACCACTTTAGTTTTATGAATAATAAACTTTATTCTTTTGTTAATACTTGTATACAATTCAATTTAAAACTGCAGATTGCATTCTGGACCAGACAGATCTGTGCTGGCACAGAGCACTGCACCTGGAGTGACGTTTCGTAAGTGGAGTTTTGATAGCATAAGAGCACCAAGATTTAGAGCACCTATACCTAGCATTTGACTGTGCATTCCAAATGGAACCTTTCTCCTTTATCCCTGTAATGCACTGACTAGAAGAAGACTTACTACACATTCAAGCTGTATACTGACATGCTATTAAATGCACTTTTTATTATCTTTGTGAGCCTGGGGTTTTTTAAAATCAGTTTATGGAGCTAGACTTTAGTTACTGACAACCCTTTCTTCTAAACTTCTAACTTCCTTTGAAACTGCAGTTATGAAGAGGAACAGGCTTCCTTTCAGGTCATTTGCTGAGACGAGTACACAGTTGATTTGAGGTTCGTTCTCTGGGAAGGACTGGTGGTTTTTGTGAACGTTGGTGGTTCTTCCGGGAGGTCTGTACCTTCACACTTCTCAGGGCAAGACGAGTCCTCAGATGTTCCAATGCTTTGCTTGAGTTCTAGAAAGACAGAGGCAGAGTTGCACTCTTAGGAAACTTGCAGGGACCAGTCAGGCCCGGTATGAAGCGGACAGCAGCAAGCATTCTTGGTGTTTTGCGTGGAACTCTCTGGAAGGCCTTCCCCGGCCAGAGCCTTGGTTCCCGCCATGCTTGGCCATGCCTCTGAGGACACTTTGTCTTGTGTCAGGCCGAAGTCATACGTGTATTGATCTCATCTGTAGACTGACAGCTTTGAGGGTGTGTCCTGTCCCAGGGCTTTGGACAGTGTGTGTTTAATCAGTGTCTGTGAAGTGAATGAGTTCCATTAAGCAGCAGGTCTTTCTGGAGCGACCCTGGTCTCTGCGAGTGCTGCATTACGACTCTTTCTTTTCTGTGCGGGGCTCCTGGAGGGGCAGGCCCTTGCCGCCTCCCCGTGAGGGACCTCACCGACATCCCCATCCAGGCTCCGCCAGTCCTGAGCCCTCCCTGACCTGGCAGCTGGGGTCTTGGTGGCCTCAGCCTCCCGGCTGGCGAGGCCTAGTCATCCTCAGTGTCTTTTCCAGCCCCATCTCCTTAGTCCAGTTCTTTGGATGGACTGCTGCCTCAACGTCCCCGTGTATCCGCCTCCCACCCCAAGGGCTTAACTACGACAGAGCCCTAACTCGGGGCTCTTGATGGGGCTCCTATGTAGCGCTTCCCTGCTGGATTGTTTCCTTGACCCAGGGCCGAGGCCCCACCCAGGCAAAACTCTCTCCTTGCTCTTGGGAGCCAGGACTTTTTTCCTGCTAACTGACCCGAATATTGTCCCTGCTGGCCCCCCGCCACCGCACTGGCCGATGGAGACCAGCACGCCGGCCCCGCCCTCACCCACCCCACAACTCCTAGTGCTTTTCTCCTCTCTGGCTGCCTCGTGTCAGCTCTCCGGCAAGCCAGGCTCAGGCCTGCAGAAGGAGAAGGACAGGAGACGGGAGGGCTCCAGGAAGTCGAGCGGGACTGGCCGTCATAGGTAGAGGGAAGCCGTTCGCTCGGGCGGGAGCCAGCAAGCCACAGCCCACGGGCCAAACAGAGCCTGCTGCCTGTCCTCGTAGAGTTGTACTGAAAACAGCCACACCTGCCGTTTACATGTTGTCTGTGGCTGCTTTTGTGCCACAATGGCAGGCAGAGTTGGAGAGTAGACACAGAGACCACGTGCCCCGTGGTTTGGAGGTCTGTACCTCCAAAGGTTTGCCGTCTGGGCCTTTACAGGAGCCGCGTGCTGACCCCGGCCGAGGCGAAGGCCACTGAAGCGCCGAGTTGGAACCCTTCTGTGGATTCTCCTACCGCCCGGTTGGGGGGCGGTTATGACGAGTGTTTTCTCATTTGTAAGATGGGGACAGTGACACATTCTACTGCGTGGGACTGTCGAGACGATGAGAGGGCGCGAGGGAAGAGCTCAGGCCAGTGCCTGGCACGTGGGAAGCACTCGGTAACAGCTGCCGCGTGTTCCTGCTCTTCGCACGTCTAAGCCTAGAGAAGGAAAGCGTCTTGGCCAAGGTCCCGACTCAGGGAGGCAGAGCCCGGGCTTGGCCCAGCTGTCTGGCCCCTGAGGACTGTGCTGTCAGATGCTGCCCGTGTTAACCCCTGCTGTGCCGCAGTCAGCCCTGGGTGACTGCCGTGAGGGAGGACAGAGGGCACTCTCCCGACCCCGAGGCGGCCAGCACCAACTCTTGAGTGGAGCCACACAGCAGGCCCTGTGCTCTCTCCCCCTTGAAGTCGTGATGGTTTCAGGGTGTGAACAGAACGTGCCAAGATTCCCAGGGCTGGCACAGGCAAAATCTCTGAATGGATGGCTTCCGTTCTCCGTGGTTTTTCCCAGTGGGAATGCCTCTTAGGAGTGGGTGACCTTGGACAGCTGTGAAACCTCTCTGGGCCTGTTTTTCCTTATCTGTAAAGTGGAGCTGTCTTCCTGTCCCCTGGGGTGATGGAAAGCTTAAGATGGCTCTTGGGAGACTGCCAGGGCTGCGGGCCTATGGGAAGACTTGCTGCCTTGTGGAAACCACACACAGGGACAGCGGACACCACGGGCTCACTTGGCTGCTTCTTCGGCCAGCGCGTCAGAATCAAAACCTGTGAGACCCTGGGAGCCGGAGCACGGCTGTTCGCTCGCCAAGCGTGTGCGGTCGCGTCGTGTGCCGCCTGTCTGCGAGCCTGTCTTCTGAAGGCCTGCCACGGGGCTGTGTCCAGCAGCTCTCTCCCTCAAGAGTCTCCTCGGAGGCTAAGGGGTCGCAGCTCTGTCTCCGTGTCCAAGCTACATCAGGCCTGACAAGTCGGGTTGCCTCAGAGAAGACGGGTCATGCACAGGACTCTCTTGTAAGCCGGGCTCGAAGGGCCTCGGGCCTCCTCTGGACCACGCAGATCATTTGTTACGCTCCTTCAGTGGAGTTAATGTGCAGATATGGGCACACTGGGCGTGGTGACAGTCATGGTAGGCTGTGAAGAACGCAGCTCAGTGGGGTGGCACCAAACTGTGCTTTTTGTGAAAGGTGAACCCTTGGGCGATTGTGAGTGTTATTAGCCAAAGGCTGGCCAGCCCCTCCCACCGACCGAGCGAACGCTGGGCCTCTCGTGAAGAGAGACTGCAGCAGTTGCCCTTTGCAGAGCACTTATCCGGGGCCAGCGCTTGACTTGCATTATTTTTACTTCTCAGCCCCCTCCCTGTGTTGTTGTTACTCCCATTTGGCCGATGAGGCAGCTGGAGCCCAGAGGTCAAGGGCCTTGTCCACGGTCATGAGCCGGTGGTGGCAGCGTCAGGCCCGCAGGCCCTCCCACCGCAGGTCAGAGCTCCGCGTGGGTTAACGTCTCCTCCCTCTTTCCAGCCTGGGGTCTTTTGGCTAAAATGCGCCAGGAGTTTGGACCAGAGAAATCGGGGGCTTTCTTCGAGGCAGCTCACTCTTGTTGGCACCTTTGTTTATTCCGTAACTATCAAGCCAGCGTTCCCTCACCAGACTGAGGTGTTTTCTCCCTTGCTTTGGGAATTAATTTATATGGAAAAAATCGGGGGCCACAAGTTAAATCACATTTAGTTTTCCCCTAAGTTGACAGTTTTAGGAGGAAGAATAAAACCGTATGAATTGAAGATGTGGTGACGAACTCTGCCAGATTTGGAGCCTCCTGAGAGGCCACTCAGCCCTAAGGAGACCCGCCCCCACGCGTCATAGCCAGCCTCAGGACGTGCTCCCAGTCAGGCACTTTCAGTGCGGCCGCCTCACTCCATCTTCAGAGCTCGTGAGGAGCCTGAGGTCGACACTTCTGTCATCCCAGTTAGCGCGAAGACAGGCCCAGGGAGACGAAATGCTGCAGGGCCGCCCGGGAGGAGCGCTGCAGTCTGCCTCGGAGGGGTCTGTGCCGAAGCCAGCCTCCATCCTGGCGTCATCCTGGCGTCATCCTGGCGTCATCCTGGCGGTCCAAGGAAGGGAGGCCTCTGCCGCCCCTCGGGCCAACACGGTGACCCAGAACCCATGGACCGAAGCCGCCGCCGGCAGCCCCCGGCTGCACTCGGCCAGCAGCACGCGCGGGCGATGAGCTTGAGTGTCTGAGTCTCCGCTTGGCCTGGGGAGCCCTGGCGGGGCCTGCAGGGCCTCCACGGTTCCGTTCCCGTCACTGGCCGCAGCCTCTAGAGAAGGAAGAGCCAGCCCACCCCCAGGCAGACATGCTGCCGCCTGGGGTCACGGGCCAGACACCCATCCCGCGCTCACCCGCTCGGCCCTGCCGGCCTGCGCCTCGCCGCGCGGCAGACCAACCCTCTCGTCTCGTGGCCCACGGAGAGCACTGCCCCGCGCACCTCGCCAAGCAGGCCCTCAGAAAGCGGGGCCTGAGGCCAGGCTCTCCCTGGTGGTCCTCCCCGCCCTGGCACCACGCCGCCGCCCCCACTGCCCCTCCACATGCCAGTCTGTCAGGCTGACCCCGTTTCCGGCCAGGGCTGCTCTCTCCCGCCGTGCCCCACCGCCCTGGGTTCTTCCAGCCCCGGAAAACTGAGGTTGGGTGGGTGGGCCAGGGAGCTCTGGCACCAGCTCCTCCCTGCAGGGCGACAGGGCCTGTGTGGGGAACAGAGAGCTGGCTTTTTAACGAGGCAGCCTGTGGAGAAGGGAGCCTCCTGGGGCTGCCTGGCGGACGCCCTGATTTCTGCTCCTTGAAGTGGCCACTTGGAAAAGAAAGGAGCCAGCAAGCGATCGATTGTGAAGGACAGAAATGCCTCCAGGTGAGGACAGTCGCATTGGCGGCGGGGAGGGGACTCTGCAGCCAGTAGGGCGTGCCCAGGCTTCAGCTTGTGGGGGGGATCCGAGTCCCACAGCCAGGCTGGGTCTCCGGCTGGTGTGGCAACCCCGTCATCTTGCTAACCCTCAGTTTCCCCACCTGCAAGATGGAGATGACGGTCCCTCTCTCCTGTCAGGTGTGGCGGAAACGATGTCTGTCTGGCCCTCCCAGACAAGAACGAGTACCCCGCGCCACGGGCGTGCCCTGGCTCCGTGTTCGCCGCAGCCGTCTATCCTCACATCGCAGCTCCAGGGGCAGCGGGTGTTTTGCTGAAAGGAAATCACGGCTTGCAGTGGGCATCCGGCTCCCCTCCTAGGGATCTGGCACTCCACCGCTGCAGGGCTGGTGTGCTGACTCATGCCCCCACGTTTCTGGTTTGAATGATCCACTGGGAAACCCTCCATACGGTGCGTCCGTCGGCATTTGGGCCTCACGTGGCGTGA